CTCTGATCTTGGTCTCATTTTGCTGGAAAGGACCCTTCGAGATGGAGACAGGAAGATACCCTCACTCGGTACTGCAGGGAACAGCAGAGGTGTGTGTGGTCCTCGCCACCCTCAGAGGTCCAAGGGTTTACTTAAGACCTCAACAACAATCTTCAGGCAACCAGGAACCTTCAGTCAGTGTTTCCCAAACATTCTGTACATTTGAGTCCCCTGGGCCAACTCGCTAAAGTGCACTTTGTGATTGGGGTTCTGGAGTGCTGCTGATGCTGGAGGTTCCTTGGTCTTCGCTGAAGCAGCCAAGTTCCTCCTCCTGAAGCCCTGAACCAGACTGGCATCAGTCCAGGAAGGCCAAGCAGATGCAGAAGCTTGACAGAAGCCTGTAGTATCTTTTAAAAACTCAAACAAAACATCTACTATAATTAGGAGATACATGGTGATGTCTTAAATTTTCTATCACTTCTAACATTGTTTAAAACAAAAAAATTTTTAAAGATTTTTTAAAAGATTTGGACATAATTAAGAATGCTTCCCTTTCCAGATTTTACTTTCAAATTTGAGCAGAATTGAGGATTTTATTTCTTCCCTGGTTAACAATTTCCTTTTCATTCTAAAATTATCCCACAGTAATGAGGTGGGAGATTAGGGCGTGGCAAACCAGTTGGGCAAGTGGGCATGACCTGTCCAGCATGGAGACCCAGAACACGCTCAGAAAAAATTACAAGCTCTGCACGTGGGGCCAAACAGAGAGTTCTAGCTTCAATTCTTCTTGGGAAAAATGAAGCAGGTTTTTGATAGGCCGACTAGATCTGACAAGCAATGCAAAAGACAGCCTCCATTAAGCTCACGGTCATTGTGAGCCTTTTCACTGCACACCCTCCCTCTGCAGAGAATAATTCTTTTCCAAGCTTCAACTGTCCCACAGTCACTCCTCAGCATATATTTCTTTTCCTACCTTCACTAAATGTAAAACATCCTATCTTTTGCACTTGTTTGACCAATTCTTTGTTCAGGATGATGACAACCTAGAAACTGCCTCTAGGAGCACCCCAGAATCCCAGAACCCAGCTAACATGAAGATCAACTTTTTTTTCTTTTGATGTACAGGTCTATGAACTTTAACACATGTAGAGATTTGTACAACCACCAGCACAATCAAGAAGTAAAGGGAGAGATTGGGACTGGGGTCTTTCAATCCCCTTCAAGACCATGTCACAAATACCTCAGTTCTACTCACTGGACTCCACCTCTGAAGGTCCCACTACCTCCCAATAGTGCCACAGGCTGGTGACTACATCTTTACTATATGAGCCTTTGGGAGACATTCTGGAGCCAAACTATAACACTGAGAATGAGAGATTCTCTTGGACAATCTCTTTATTGTGTTGCCAGCGTCCTACCCAGCAGAGAGCGCAGGCTGTCTCCCAGCTGGTGGTGACCTATAAACTCTAACCTGCAAAGGTGGAGGACAAAGCACCCAGCTGCACAGGAACTGCATCAGAACGGCCCCAAACTAGATCACTGGCAGAAGGCGGAAACAGGTAATTTATTCTGTTTCATCTTTCAGGACAGAGGAAACTGTTGAATCTATACCCTCAAAAAAGTTTCAAATCATGGAAAAGCTCTCAGATTTTTAAATTATTCATATTAACAACTACAAGTAAGAGAATAAACCTTCAGGAGATGACAGAAATGCTTTAATTTGGGAGCTATTGCCAGCGCCTGTATACTTACAACTCCATTCATGCCACATAACTAAATGTCTTGTAATACGGCTTTTGATTTACAGAAGGAAAAAAAGATGATATTACTAAAAAGACCCATTACTCTTGTGCCTCCTCATGTAGTTCAATGTTAAGTACTCTACAAAACTGAATCCTTGGTGGAATGCAATTCTGTAATTCAATTGAGAGATCTTGCTAATGTCCCAGTCTGCAAGAACATAGCTTAAGGGTTTAGGTTTAGCAGGAAACCTTGCAAACCGGAGACAGAATTACAGCCTGCCTCTTCCACGGAGGGATGAGTGAGGGTTGTTGGCAATGTAATAATATCAAGCAATTATTAGGATTTTTAAAAGAAAGTGAAAGAATTACAGAGTTCAGTGCATCTGCTTGAGAAGATAAAGGATGAGGAAAAGGATAGATGGTAGATGGACAGAATGTTGATTACTATGGAAACTGGATGATTAGTATGTAAACGACAGCTAAGGACACTATTCTCTCTACGTTTGTGTATGTGTGACATTAAGCCTAATAAAATGTCTTAAGAGAAAAAGAAGACATCACCCAAAGTACTATAATGGGGAAATAAGGATTCTTGAAACTGCTAGAATTTATAGCTGTTTTTCATGGTATTTATTATATGTCAACATGAATAACTATTATGTGATAACTTCTGTAAGATTACAAGTGAACTCATCAGTATAAACAGAAGTTTACTGTCAATACTAGGGTAAGACGCCTTCTCAGTACATTAAAGGAGTTATATGTAAGGAAGCCTGTGGACTTGTGCCATTCATATATTATTCATATATATATACACACATATATACACACATTTAGACCTGAGATGGGAAACTAGGATGCTAGAAAGGTGGGAGCACTGTTTATTTGTATCACAAAAAGGCCATTGACATATTCCTGTACACATCACTGCATATCAATAATATGACCCAAGAATGTCTGTCAGTCTGTTTCTAAGCTCTAGCTGCAATTACCATGATCTAAAGGACACTGGAAAAATACATATTCTCAGGTGCTGCTCCAGACCAGTGAAACACGCTCTGCAGATTGTCTCCTAATTTTTATTTCTGTTAGTCCATGTCTGCAGTACACAGTGACGACACTCCTCAAGGGCAGTCAGCACACACACATAACCTACCTTCGTCCTCTTTACACCCCCCCTTCCACTCCCCCGTCCCTCCTGCCTCCATCTCTTTGTACAGATGATTTCCAAACTGATCCTGGGATTGAGGGGCGCCGGGCATCTGCTTTCAGGAACATGGCTAAGGCTTAAAGTGAGAATCCTCCAAAGCACGCTGGGAGAACTTATCAGGGCGCCATACTGTGTGCATCACCTACAGCAGCCATGCCAAGTAGGGAGGTGTCTGTGTGGAGAAATGAAATTATAAGAAAGGCACAGGGTGCTGAGTGTTGAATACAATCATTTCTATGAAACGAAGAGGAGGAAAACAAACTGAATCCTTCCATAAAACCTTGACAGACCCTAGGCTAGATCTTCTGAACTTAAGTTTCATTTACTTCAACGCATAATTAAATTATTGTTTTAACAGAATAGGGTGTATTTGCTAAAAATTACACAGAGAAGCTGATAGTCACTGTCACCCTGCAAGGGTTGCTCTCATTTGCTCTTGGCTTGAGGATCCTTAAAATTTGTGTTAGTGAAGTCAAGAGGAAGAACCTCACACCCTGCAGTGGAGGGGCAGCTATCGTCCGCACAGGGAAGGCTTGGCCTGATGCGCTCCTCTCTTCCTAAGGAGGGAAAAGCAGCCTAAGAGCTCCGGACAGCTTCCAATTCTGCCTTCCATAAGCTTTTTAATTCTGATTCATTTTGCTTTTCTTCTTTATGTTTTATGTTCATATTTCTGCTTTCACTTTTAAAAATGTATTGACTTCCTCCTAGGGTTCCTCATTTAAATGCTGACTCTCGGGGCTTCATGGTCTGAATTCTCCTCTCACCTGCCAGCAGTTCACAAACTCTCAGCCTGTCCTTAATTTCAGTGATCACCATGCAAAATTCTCTGCTCTCTTCCCAGCCCAGTGTTGAATCACACCCACCAAATAAATTAGACATATTGGGACTAATGACTTGTTTATAAAAGCCAAAGAGAATTTTTCTTTCCTTTTATGGATCCTGTTGCATCCTCCAATTTTCCTATCTATTAAAAAAAAATTATTCTGTGGTGAGCTATCACAATCCCCAAGTCAGTCGCTGGGGAAAAACTATCAGAATCCCTAGAATTTATACCCCTGCGCTTGGAAACAAGACTGACTTAAAATCCTGCTTTCTCCACTTACTCACTCTAACATCTCTGCCAGGTCTCCTACCTCTGTAGAGTGATGAGAAAGACCCACTGCCTCTAAAAATGGAATAATGGTAGAATCAAGTGAGATGGAGGCAGGTACCACGACACACGCTGCAGGCTTAGGCATTCAGGAGGCTGAGACAAGAAGACTGCTTGAGCCCAGGATTTTAAGACCAGTTTGGGCAATGTAGTGAAACTCTAACCCAAAAAAGGAAAAACTGAAATCAATACCAGTATAATCTCACTAATCTGAGCCATCACTTTCCAGAATGGAGACATGGAAATGCACGGAAATATGACCAGAAGATTGGCCTTCCCATTTGACTGCAGCTGGAAGACAGGTGACGGAACTGGGATGCATGGAACAGAACCTTCAAATCTTATTCAATGTACTTTCACATTATTTGAACTACTTTGAAAATTGTAATATATTATTGAGTCCTTTCCCAAAGGGATGATTTGCTTTCCTCCTATTATGAGATATTAAACCTAATAACTTATTAATAACGCTACCCCCAAAAAATAAGCACTAGAAGAAAAAGTCCTAATCAGTCATAAGTTGATTGATGGTGGCCAGTGACAAATAGGACAGCTGCCAGTAAAATAATGAGGAGTGAGGGAAACACAGAGAGTAAAAACGCCCAAACCAGACCACCTGCACAACATTGCAAAATTAGCACCAGCAGTATCTCCAGCCACACCCTCCCCAGCACAGTGACACATTTTATGTTAGCAAAACACCCCAAACTCCTCACCCAGAGCATTTCCTAACTCTCTTCCAAAGAATCTCATGCCCTACACACCTGGGTTTGATATGACTTGTTTATCTGTTTGTTCTTCTTGTCTAACTCAAAGAGTCTTTCTTTTTCTTTGTCCCCAGCACCAAACATTACTGAAATGAGAAAGAGTTGCTGGGGAGAGGTTCGTAAATACCCATTTCTTGCTTCTTTTGTTCAAGGTTGTCTGTTCGTGAACCAGCAATTATCACACAATATCAGAAGGAAAGACAAGCCCTCCTGGCTTTGGACTACCCTGACTCTAGTTGTAAGCAAATTTTTTTTTTAAGTATCTGATCACGTCTATCTCAGGAATGCCTTTGAGGATTCACTGTTCCATAGAATGATGAGCCTCAAGTACAGACATGGTGATGTATGTTCAGTAATAGCACAACTAAGTTTTAAAAGATTTTTTTCCAGAATACTTTAGTATGAAGTAATTTACTTGATGCTTAAAAGTAGTCTGACCTGTTACATGGGTAAGATATGATGTATGGTGTATATTTTGCGTATGATGAGAATCAGGCTCAGAGGGATTATAGCTTGCTCTGTTCCACGGTCACACACAGATGGACATGTTCTGACTCCCAGTCAAGTGCACACCTGTCAGATCACAGTTGCCCTCTGGTGCAACACACACATGAATAAAGCATGAAACTGGAGGCCATGGAAGAGCAAGAACCAAAGGTCCCTGTCCTGTGTTAAACTGGCAAGTCTGTTTCTATACTTAGTTCATAAAATTTGGTCGAAAGCTGCCTCCACAGGTAGTGAACTACAACCTAAATGAATATGCAAGCAAACTGCAAATTACTAAGTGTGTATTCTTATAACAGACACCGGAGTCTCCGCCAGCATAGCAATCAAGCATCAGTCAACCACAGGTTGCCAACTTTCATGTCTCTATAAGGAAAATGCCTCCTCATACCAGGACCATATAAGGTAAATGCTAACTGCAGCCAGTCCGGTTGTTTCAGACTGAAATAGGTGAAGGTATTCATCTTCGATATTATTGCCCCCATTTCATGCTGGCCTTCCATAACGCCACACAACCCCTCTGCTCTGTCAATCTGGCCTCTTTATGAAGCTATTCCTCCCACAATATCTTTGAACTCTGTCTGAATCCGGGGGACAATCACACTGGTTGGGAATGTTCTCTAAAGTACTCATTCCTTTTAGGGCCAAGGCCTTCCCAAATCCAGTGAAAGTTATTTTGGCCATTCCAGGATTCAAAGTTTTCCCTCTCTTTGAACTCTTTCCTAAAATAATCATAGGTAGGATCTGAACCATTTCTTCAAAAGGCTGTATTCAGGGACTTGGATGAAAGGCCATGGCTTGTCTTTTGTTTCCTTCACGGTGTTGGTCACATACTAGGTACTCAATAAATACTCCACCAAGTGACTGTTTACCAACTACTCTCCTGTATTATTAGAGATCCAAGAAAGAGAAAGTAGGTCTTTTAAATGTTTATTTTTCAGTGAACCCTGTTTTATATTATTTTGTTAAATGATACTGAATGAATCCATCTCCTTTTTACATTACAATCTTTTGACACCTTTCAGACAAAAAAAATCTCAATTCTAGGTTATACTCCTCTTTTCTCTATCCCTTTATACCCTGTCAGTAAAACTTTAACTGTTTTTATCTCTAGGACCAAATGTAAAACCTGAACTTTGTGATTCCAATTAATTGTAGGGATTCTTAATAACCAAATCAAGGATTCTTTACCCAGGAAAGTGAAAACCTTAAAACGCATCGAAGAAATCTGCACCTTCCTTAATGATGCTCAATTCCTAGAGCTACTTCAGCTGCAGTGGGAACCATGGTGCCCTTACTCCCTGAGAAAGTGTCAGTCCAGGCCGTCAGACGGCTACACACACGCAGGGTGAAGTCAACCAGGACCTGGGAAATTTCCACCTGCCATTCTGTGTAGCATAACTATACATGATTTTAAAGATCTTAACCCACCTCACCGCCCTGCCCCCCAGAACTAATCTATATGCTAATTTGCACTTGATAATGCCGCCCCACAATATGGTAATTCCTGTAATGTTTTCCAGGGGGAGGGAGAAAGAAAAGGAGAAATTGAGCGTTGTTTCCATCACTGAAGCCGAGACCCTCCGCAGGAAGAGTGAGGGAGAAACCTGGGCTTGCCACCTTGCACCCAGAATGAAATCGTTCTGGAGAGGCAGGAAGAGCTCTCTGCGGCCGCGCTATTTTGCAGCAATGCTCAGAAGCACAAGATGCAGAGAGCTGAAGCTTATGGCTGGTGAGTGAAACTCTAGCGGCCTGCACCTGCCAGGGCGACCTGGCTGGGCGAAGCAGCCCTGGAGGTCGCCAGGTCTTGCAGCCGTGCTGCTCCTCCTCGCGCAAGGGTCCTTCCCCTCTTGCCTGTTTTCCTAGAAGTACTCTCCGATGCTATTAAGATATCAAATACAGGAATGACAACAAGAGAGTCCTAATTAAACCGGAGCAGCGTGCGCCCTCGAAGGAGCAGCCTGAACCCAAATAAGAGGAGCTTGGGACCGGAGAGGGGGAAGAAGACATTGAGGGCTTTGAAATCAGCTGGGTGTCAAGCTCTGCGTTTGTTGTGTGTGTTTAAAGGGCCCCGTGATGCAGAGGGCTCCCAGCGCTGTCAGGCCACAGGCCAAGCTCCGGATTCACTGACACAGAAGGGAAACAGGCACCGAATCCTGTGACCAGAATCCAATTGTAATTGGCCTCCTAGATCACTCACGGCAATCAGGGAAGTAATATGCTTCTGAATAATTATGAATAATTAGGCACATTTATGAATAATTACACTGATAATAACTATCTAACTCATTCCATTTTAAAATTGTAATTCAGTCATTATAGATCAGGGAGTCATTCCCTCCATCCTGCTCACGGCCCCATCCATCTGCCAGTCCAACGGCGACGGTGGGAGTCCCTCTCCAGGACAGCACTGGACTCACCTTGGGGACAAAGGGACATCCCGGTCCTTAGGGTTGGAGTTTCATATCCCCCTGATTGATTGCAGAGGACTCCAGACAGTACAGAGAAGCAGGAGGGCCAAAGGAGACAATTTTCCTAACACATTGGAGTTTCGCCATCTAGTGACTCATTTATCAATATGTAAATGAGTTCAAAGTGATGTCTAGGAGCTCAAAGCTGGCTTCAGAGCCCATGGTAAAGGGAAGCCATTGTTTCCAAGTGGTATGGTAAAGAATACTAAATTGTAAAAGAGGGGTTCTTTCTTAGAGTCTTCTGATCAAATACTAAACTGCTTAGAAAATTAGAAGTCCCAATTTGAACAAGGAATCTTGTTAAAAAAAAGAAAGTGTCCCCAGACTTTAAACAAAATGTGTCCTTTCCTTACTGCCCTTACATCCTTCCTTTCTTTTCTTTTTCATTCCTTTATATTCCTCCTTCTCTTTTTCTCTCTCTCCCATCCCCACTTCCCCCACTCCTGGGCCTAATTCTCTATGAATTTCATGTCTCTTTCTGTTCTAATCCTAACGACATTAATCATAAAGTAAGTTTATATATTTTCTTGACTCTAAAAGTAATATCTGTTAATTCAGAAATTTGGAGGAAAAAAAGGAGAGAGAAAGAATTTTAAAAATCAATAATCACAGCTTTTGAGAACGCCAATGTTAAAGTAATATTTTAAAATGGTTTTTTCTATATATGACATTAATACCCTACAGTTTATAAACAAGATCTTTTATGCTGAAGCAACTATATCAGAATCCCATGTTGGACTCGGCCCAGTACCTGAAGTATCATGATGCACCTATTCTGGAGACCTAACACAAATGGAGACAGGAACAGCACCCCACTGAGTTTCTGAAAGAGTCATTTCTGGACAGGTACAATAGAGCCTATGTATCAGAACTGCCCAGGGATTTGGGGGTGGAAAGTATATCTTCTTAGACGCCACCAACTGGTATTTCATTTTAGTAGATCCCGAGTAAGGCTCAAGATGGGAAGGGAATGGAGCAGCAGATTATGCAAAAGTGTCCTTTCCTTGCCAAGAATCCTGGACCTTATTGAGTAGCAATGTGGTCTCTGAGTGGATGAGTGTCATGGCCAGATGGACAGAGCAGAAAGATGACCTCGGTGCAACGATCAGAATGAACGGGGCGATCATGAGACAGGGCACAGCGGGGAGTGAGGAGAGGGGAGTATATGGATTCGTTACCTATTGCAGTGACCCTGAATATCTACTCAGCAAATTATGACCACATGAAGTGAGAAAGTATAGGAGGGAAATGAAGAAGCACATCAGTATGAAAGCCCTGTGTGACAGAATTAGTAAAACAGTGTGAGTGCTGGCTGTGAGAACTAAAACTCAGAGCTATGTGACTTGGATAAAAACACAGAAAAGCAATGGCTATACTTGTGCAAGTGAGGAAGAGTGTACACTGATATTGGGGTGCAGCCGTGAGGGACTCACTTGCTAAAAATGAGTGCTCCAAAAATAAGGAAAATACCTTTTTTTAAAAAATCTCTGGCTGAAATGATCATTTGGGGTTTTTTACAATGAAAATAAAGTTTTTGCTTCTTTTCTTCCATGGAAATATTTTTACATGATGCAGTAGCACCACAGAGGCTGAGGCCCTGGAGGCTGTCGGCCTTTCCTGGGGACCCCGACAGAGAGAGGATTTCGCGGAAGACACTTCCCATCATCCCATCCCCTGCTTCCTCTAGGACCAGAAGACAGGCGGTCAAGCCAACCCTGTGATTCTGTTTCCCCAGGTAAGCTGGGGCCACAAAAAGCAACACAGTTCTTCCCGTTGTGGCACAGTTGTAAGTCTTCGCAAGTTCTCCTCCTTGGTGTGCCAGGACATCTGCAGTTCTTTCACTAGAAAATTCTAAGTAGATCTGATGTCACAGTCTCCATATCCCAGCAAAATTTCCTGTGGATTTCAGGGAGACTTGATATCCAGAGGCAGAATTTACCACCAAATCCTAGGCATAAAGCCCTGGGCTGTTCCCAGAATATATTAACCTGAAAGTTGCAAGAACCAAGTGTTTTTACTTAAAGTATGTAAAGAGACTTTTTAAAAAAAAAAAAAAAAAAAGAGTCTACCAATCTTTTGTTTGGCAATTTGTTTTGTTTTCTCTAACGCATAGATCTAATCCTATTCTAAAAAAGAAACCACCTGATATTTCGAAGAACAAAGAGCAAGAGGAAATTCTGCGAGAATTTTTCAAGAGATTTCCTTGTGTCCCAATTCTAGTATCTTTTCTTGATGGAATAAATAGAAGAGACTAAGAAATATGTTGATATTATAAAGCCATTAAAATCATGGTTATAGAGATTATTTAGCAAAACAGGAAAATGCTTATCAAAAAAGCAATCTATGAAAGTTAATATTCACTATGATTGCAACTATAATTTTAAAACATAATAAGAATGGGAAGAGACATTAGCAATGTTCTGTTGGATTCATGATAATGCATTTTCCTTTCAGCATTTTATAATTTTTTTAGAGCATGTTCATATCTATTTTTAAATGTGCTCTGGTCAGAGAATGAGAAACTAAGAAGAGGGAGAAAAACCTAGAAAGGGGAAAGGTCTTGCCCAAGGTCATCCTGTCAGTCAGTTCAAAGAGCTAAATGTAGAGCATATAATTAGAGAGGAGAATCCCACGCTCCCTTGATCCAGCCATGAGAAAAATGCAGCCTCACCAGCCCAGAAGCTGGTTTCCTAACTCAGCTCTCACCTTTGATGGGAGGCCCCTCTCTGGAGGGTAGAAACGTGGGTGCTTTCACTGGCAGACCTAGAGAAATTCCTGAGCAAGTGGAGGTGTGGCAGGTAGCAGAGCCCCTCCTTCCTCCCTGGTAAAAGGGGGCCACACCCAGTGCCCACGCTGCCACTACACACAGCACCGTTTCCAGCGGAGCCTGAGAAGAGGGTCTCTGCGAGCCTTTCTCCTCTTTCCCCTGCCTTCTCTCCCAGCAGAGAGAGCATTACCATCCTGTCATTCTTGTTGAGAGGAGATACTAGGATAATGATTCTGCTGCCTGTCCCACCACCACCCCCTTGCTACCCGAGAAATCTCAGTGATTGATGAGAGGGATACTTTGAAATTTTGAGGTAGGGATGCGATTGCCCGAGAGGAGAGGAAAGGAGAACAGGAGGGACAAGGAAGGAGACAGGAGGGGGTGCTCCCGAAGCACTGAGGACATTAGGACACGTCAGGGCTGGCGAATGATTCATTGAGTTAATGATGATAAACACTTCGTCTCTGTGCATATATGTGCATTTTACCTAACGATCTCAAGCATCCATAAGTGGAGAAAGGCTCAGAATAAATCATATGAACAGGCCCTAAATGGGAATCCCTTAGGAATGGGATCTGAATTGTTAATGCCTGCCAGAATTTCACACATCCAATTACAATAAGCGGAATAATATTTTAAGCAGCTCAGTACTTGAAGGGTATTGCAAAGTCCAGAGGATTTTCTTCTACTTTCTTTTTCTTTCCTGGGCCAGTTGGAGCTTTACACACCTCTTATTCATTTGGACATTTTCTGGTTGTGGATTCTGAAGCAAAGAAGAAAGGCTTTCAGTATGAAAACTGGCTGACAAACATTCGGAAATGCCCAAGTCCTCCCATTTTTCCAGCTTTGTTCCTCTTATCCCAGGTGTCTTTGCTATGGAGAACAATGCAAGGAAAACTGAAAATATAAACTGACAATGGCCAGACCACTGATAAAACAGAACTGTAATCCACAGTCAGCAACCAGCCTAGGAAACCAAGTCCCTAGTCCATAGTAACCAACCTACCAAGCCAGCCTACCATCCGGCTACAAGGGAGACTTACTGGAAATCAGACCATTACTTATAGGAATCAGGTCAGGAAATCAAACAATGACTTCTATAAAAATTATTCCA